CAATCCCTCTACATGCTCAAGCGCTCCCCTGAAACCAGGGTTATGGAATGTCCTCTTTCCCTTAAGCCTCCTAAAGAAAAAACGGGGCAAGGAGCAGAGAAAGTATAAGGGGTAAGATGAGATCGAAGAGGTAGGAAAACAGAAAAGTGATGAGAAAGATAAAAGTGGACGGACGTGGTATGGAGTAGAGAAAAGGAGCAGATGTGCGGGAATCTTAGATACAGGATATAGGTGAGCAGGTGTAAAGGGCGTGGGGGGCGGGGGGTCACGGGAGGAATAAAGGTGAAGACACTGCAGGGGGATGGGGGAAAGTTCGCATAAGAAGGAGTGGGGATCCTTCTCACTGCAAGACCTGTGGATTGCCGTGGGCAGGGGGCTCCAGGCTCCCAAAGCAGCTGCCTCTGGGACCAGCCCCCAGAAACCCGAAGTCGGACTCTGGGCTCGGGAGCTGGAGCCACCAGCACACTAACCGTGAAGGGGGCGGAGAGGGGGGATCCGCAGCCTGGGATTGGCCGCCGCTCGGCCGGCTGGTGACGCGAGGCGGGCGGGCCCCTTTGTGACGTCACAATCAGCTGTTTGAGCGTTCCAATTTGTGCCGTGAGCCCCGCCGCAGCTGCAGCACAGACTCAAAGCCCCGCGGGCGAGCGCAACAGCCCGGAGCGTCCAGCTCTCAGCCCCACAGCCACCCCCGCCCTCCCCTCCATGATGCAGCCCAGCCTGTGAGCAGCCGCCGACCCCCGGGACGCCCCGCCGCACAACTACCTCAGCGCCACCTCACCTGCCGCAAGCCCCCGCCCCCAGGTGAGTTCGGACCAGCACAAGTCTAGGGGTTCCCGGATCCCCGAGACACACCCCGTGCCCCCAGCTCCTGGGCCTTTGTCTTTCTCCGCCAGCAGCCGCTGGGGCTGCATCCCTAGCTTTCGATTGGCTGCCATACGCCCGGTAGACCATGACGTAGACATATTTGCATATGACATTGAGACGTCACCAAGGCCGGCCCCGCCCCCTCGGATTCGGTCGCTTGTCCTCCAATGACCCGGCGGACTCGGGGTCGGGGCTGGGGCCAAGGATGAGGAACGCTAGAAGATGACAGGAACAGAGAAGGCTCAGCAGTTTCCTCGACCAATCAACGACTTGGAGTCAGACCTTTCAGATCACCTACTTTCACTTTGAAACTTGGCGGGGGGGGCCCGGCTTACGTTGGGCTAGGGAATCGTCTGGAATTCAGAGGCGACCTCAGGCTCAGGTCTGGTGGGGCTGTGCCAGATGGTTGAATTGCCTTCCTCCAACTCCAGGCCCCGCCCCCTAGGGACTAACATAACAACATCCTTCTAATCCCTGACAAAGAGCGTTGGTAGTAGAACCCTGAGCTGCTAACTGAAAGATTTGCGGTTTGAACCCGACAACTGTTACACTGAAGAAAAATGTGGCAGATTGTTAGCACTCTGCTTCTGTAAAGATCAGAAGCCTTGGAAGCCACTTTATTGGGTTGTTTATTATGAATCAACGGGTTTGACTATGCTTTTAACCCCGGACATGTGTGGAATACTTTAGATGAGCCGATGTCGCCTTTTAACTTCTGAACACAAGCCTTTAGATCTCATTTCAAGGACAAGGATACTGAGGTTCAGGGAGGGAAAATAGCTTTCTCGGGGTCACATAATCAGTTAGAGTTATGCCCACTGAAAAACACATTTCTCATTGCTGTTCAGTAGGAACTGATTTATAGCTGACCCTCCCGCTGATTTTCAGGAGAATGGGAGTTGAACTGGAGGAGATTGCCCGTCTTTCTCTCGTAGAGCCACTGGTGGATTTGAACCGCCAGAGACAAACTACCTTTGGGTTAGTAGGGCAAATGTAGTTGGTGACAAATGCATAAGCATTGGGCCTATACATAGTAGATACTAAAAAACAAAACAAAACAAACAAAAAAACCCTACACTACCCCAACCCCAATTCAATGTAGACCCTGTCCTGGACTCAAAACCCATTTTCCTAGGTCTCTTCGTTCTTGAACCTTCCAGATGTCTCTGGAAATTGGGTCTCGTTTATGGCCATGAACCTCCCCTATCCTCATGTACTACCTTTGGAGTCCAAGAAGAGCTCAATAAAATCCTTTCCCTAGTTGTTTTGACTCCAGAAAGGTGAGTCATTGATTGCTTCAGAGTATCTTTAGCACTACTGTTGGGATGGGTATGGAGTGAGGATCCCCTCTGCTTGACTCTTCCTACACCACCTCCCCAACTCCTAGGGCTGTCATCCTTTGCCTACAGTGAGGCAGTTGCAGGAGTTGGGTTAACTTCCCTGCACACAAAGGTAGAAAGAGAACATTTGACTTTCTAAGTAGATGTACCTAGAGACTGGACCAGGATCCCCCTTCCAGGCTATTTTGTTTAAGGATGGGCTGGGTTAGTGGTGGCTTCAGGCTCAAGTGCTATTCTGAGCACAGCTGCTACAGTTATTAAAGGGGACAGTTTTCCATGGAGGAGAGTTAGGAATATGAGAACCAGGAAGCTGTCTGGGCTGCGAAAGAAAATCTGAGAGGCTTTTCCAGTAGTCAGGAGAGGGGGCGGGCACTGGCTGGCTGGTGCTGCTGTCACTCCGGATTCTGCCACTAGTTGCTATGTGACCTTCAGCACGGAGCTTTCTACCTGAACCTCCCTTACTTTGTTTAGCTATAATGTGAAGAGGCCAGTGGGCGTTCCAGTAAAAGCATGCTAAATCTTGGTGCCAGGAACCCCACCCCTTTTACAGCTGGGCAGAGAGGCCCAAATGAGCAGTGATTCAGTTTTGGTCTCCCCCGCCCCCCACTCTTTCTCTTTCTCTCTCTATCATCTTGGGCATTGTTTGTGGTGGCTTTCCTACTGTGTATAACTGTGGGCTGAGGCCAGCTGTTCCTGCCACCATCAAGCTGTGCGTCTGTGGATGGCCTTAATGTTCTTTCTCTGACTCTCAGGTTAAAAAATGGCTTGGTTGAATATGATGGTCCCTGAAAGAGTAGTTAAGTTTTCTTTCATCAGAGAGGTAGTAGGTTCCTGGAAGGAGGGTGTGCCTCTTCAGGTCCCCAGTCTTTGCTTCCTTTAGGAGGAGCTAAGTTCTCTGGATTTTTGATAACTGAATCATTAACTCACTGTGGCTAAAGATGGGTTGGGGCATGTGGAATGTGTTGGGCTGGCACTTATTGGAGCTTTGCTACTCTTAGCAACCCCTGTAGATCTCCCATCCATCCCCCCAGGAAAGTCAGCACCCAGGGAGCACTTCCCTCTGGAGCCACTATGGGGCTGCAAGAGCAGAAATACTTTCAGGGTATGGAAGTTAGATGATTCTGCATAAGTGTAAAATCATTTCTGGGGAATGGGGGTGACAATGAGTATGCAAACACCCCAGAATGTGAGCATTAAGAATGGACATGCAATCATGAAGAGAAGTGTAGGAATGATCCCAGGGAGTTCTGCAGCAAGTGTGGAAACAATCCTAGGAGAAAAAAACAAGTATAGGGAATGAAGGTGGAAGACTAGGCTGAGGGGTATTCCAGGGGCTTAGCCACCAGTCACTGGCCTACATCTTGTCTTTAGATAAGGCTGGCTTGGTATCTTCCTGCCTTAGGGGGGCCTCTTTCCTCATCTTTCCTTAGGGAAAGACTATGTGAGGTCTTGGGTCATAGCCCAACCCTTAGTGCTCATCCTTTTTTTTTTTCGATGCAAGAACATGAGGGATTTTATTACAAGCTCTCAAGCAGGGACTCTACACACAGCCCCAATGCAGCAGCCACGTGGCAGAGCCAGTGCTTAAAGGGCTCCTGGGGGTCTGACAACTCCCTCCCTCCATCATCACATTTTACTAACCTGCTGTCTCCCTGAGGCCTGGCAATCTAATCATCTTCGTTCCAGCCAGAGATGCTGTCCTGTGGGAATAGGGCCTCCAGACCTCATGTGACAGGCATGACTAGGGCTATCCAATCACATGGTAGATGGTAGTGATTCTGTGGGTTTCTGCTAGCCAGTACTTTTCAAACCACACGGAATTGAGTAGTCTCTGGAGTCAAGGTTTGTTGTTCAGGAAACTGTGATGAAAACCAATGTCCTTTTTCCCCCAGGAAAATAACAGATGTATGTTATGCATATGCACAGACACACACAATATTCTGCAGTCAATTTGAAGCCTTGATTACTGTCTCCTAACTTAAAAATGACTATCTCAGGCAGACACCCATCACAAGCAATGGAGTCTGTTGATTATGGTGCTGCCCCAGGAGTCTTCATGGGTTAAAATCATATCTCCTATCTCTTGCCAGCTGCAGGATTTGGGCTATATCTCCGTACCTTAGTTTCTTCACCTGTAAAAGGGAGATAGTCATTGTACCTACTTCCTGGAGTTGTGAAGATTGAATGTTCATGTACTGCCTTCAAGTAGACTTTCCTGCCTACAGAACTCTTATTTATCCTTCAAGATCTAACTTGGATGCCCAGGCCTCTAGAGACCTTCCCTGTCATCATCTGTTTATATATGTCATTCCTTCCAAGTCCCTAGTTGTTGTTATGTATCATGTAGTTGGAATTGGCCCATAGTTGACCCTCCAGTGGGTTTTCAAAGGCAGTTGATCACATAGGAGGAAATTGCTCATGGAATTGAATCCTGTGCCTTCAGTTTGACAGCCCCTTACTCCTATGCCACCAAAACTCCTTCCATGTTCCTAGAACTCTATAATAATAACTAGCTTCTTACTGAGTACTTGCTATGTGCCCAGGCACTATTCTAAGTATTTTAGAAGTGCTTAGCTTATTTAATTCTACCAAGAGCCCAAAGGAGGGCACTATTATTATTAATGTCAACTTACATAAAATAAAACATCCTTGCAACTCTGGGAGACAGGTGATAACACTTGGCTTGGAAAAGGGGAGGACGTCAGTCAGTGTGGTTCTTATTCCTCTCTTTGCCTCCAGGTTTCTGCACTGCCATAAGGGCCCCCGGAGAGATCGCTTAGCTCCCCAGCCCCCACCATGTTTCAGCGCCTCACTAGCCTCTTCTTCAGCACCCCTCCACCCCCTGAGGACCCTGACTGCCCCCGCGCCTTTGTCTCTGAGGAAGATGAAGTGGATGGCTGGCTCATCATTGACCTGCCAGGTGAGTCGGGTGCCAGCACGCTGATTTCTGGGTTTATGAAGATATTTGAGCAGAGCACAGAAGCAGCAGGGGAGGGAGGGGAACTTCTAGGAAGTAGGGAGTTCTTCAAGACTACAGGACAAACTGGAGGCGATGACACTGGAGGGTCTTAACAAGGCCCCGCCTACCCAAGCCAGCCAGAATGGTCCTCCCAGAGCACAGTGCTGTGGCCCACACCTCAGGTGCCCAGGGACAGTAGGCTGAGACCCCTGGCCCATGGGTGTACGTGGGCGAGGTGGGTGGAGCTGCGCGACTGACTAACATTGCCCTTTCTCTCCCCGTCCCCCTGTCTCCGGGGTGTGTGTGTGTGTGTGTGTGTATTCCTCCCTTCCGCGCCTCCCTATTTGCATGGCTCCCTCTCCTGCGCCCCGTAGACAGCTACGCGGCTCCGCCCAGCCCCGGGGCCGCCCCGGCTCCTGCGGGCCGCCCCCCGCCTGCCCCCTCCTTGATGGACGAGAGCTGGTTTGTTACCCCTCCGGCCTGTTTTACTGCAGAGGGGCCCGGACTCGGGCCCGCCCGCCTCCAGAGCAATCCCCTGGAAGACCTCCTCATCGAGCACCCTAGCATGTCCGTTTACGTCACTGGCAGCACCATAGTGCTGGAGCCTGGGCCCCCTTCCCCGCACCCCGACGTTGACCAGCCTGATGACCACCTTAGCGACGGGTGAGCGGGACGGGAGTAGAGTCAGGAGCAGGTATCTGCAAAGCCAGGGCGGTGAGAGGGTGTGTCTTCGAGGCAAAAGGTGGGACATGCGAGGGGAAGTGACTTGGTGCCAGCTTGAGATAAAGTTACCTGGCCTTGAGATCCTGGGAGACCTGATTTAGTGGTTAGGATGGGGCAAGGGCTCAAAAGTTGGCTGGCTGGCCTGAGGGGGGCTTGAAGACAATAGAGGCGAGACTGGTTCTAGAGGCTTGTCCAGAGGGCAGGGGCGGAGCTGGGAGTTGAGAGTCCAGGATTTCCCGTGTCACAGGTGCTTTGCATCCAGGCTTGGGCGCTGGACAGGTGGGAGTTGCTAGTCTCTGGTTTATCTGAGCCTAACAGAGCCCCGCCTTATCCCTGCAGGGAGTTGGTGCCTGCCCGCCGTGAGCCCCGGGCCCTCCACCACGCGGCAGCCCCGATGCCCGGAAGGGCCGCGATGCTGGAGAAGGTCGGCCACGCGCGGCGGCTGCAGCGGGCCCGGCAGCGGGCCGAGCGCCACGCGCTGAGCGCTAAGGTGGTGCAGCGACAGAACCGCGCCCGAGAAAGCCGTCCGCGCCGACCCAAGCACCAGGGCAGCTTCGTCTACCAGCCATGCCAGCGCCAGTTCAACTACTGAGTGCCCGCGGTCCGTGCCGCGAACCCCTTCCCATCTCCTGACCCCTTTTGGGCCCCTCTGCCGCAGCCAGTGTGCTGGTCAAGGGGAGACCGCATCCCACCGCCAGGGTGGGGGTGGGGGGGGGCGGACACACCTTCCCTGCTCCTTTTGAGTGTGAGGTGGGGTGGTAATCTCTCTCACACCAATTCTCTTGATTTCTATAATCCACCTTTTAACCTTTCCTTATCCCTTATCTGTCTCTCTGATGCCCGTGCCCAGAATCTAATCCTTTATTTCCCTGACCTCTGATCACCATCCATCCTCCTCAGATCCTCTGTCCTAACATTCCCTTACACTTTTGCCCTCCAGCCCTCCTCCACCTCTGTCCCATGTCTATTTCTTGAGATCCTCTTCAGCTCCTCGGTCTGGCTCATTCCCACCTTCAACCTTACACTCCCTACTTCACCCTGTTTCACACTACACTAGCTCTTCCCCCTATTAATCAGTTCCCTGACTTTGTAGCTCCTCCTGTGGGTGGGGTGTGGAGTGGGACCCTGAACCCAGCTCTGAGCAGTTAAAACCTGTGAGGACTGGGCTGCTTACTGCCTTAGTCCTTCAATAAGGGCTCAGGCTCAGGGCTCCCTCTTTTTCTTTCTTCTCCTCTGGGGGCTGGACTCCTTGGAGCTATTTAGACCTGGAAAGGTAATGTATGTGGTAGAGGACTGTGAAATGTGAGTCAGAGGGAGAAGGTGGAGGGAATTGAGGGAAGGAGGGTAGCCTATTGGAGATGTAGACAGAAGGGCAGACAGGTTGAGAAGCTGTAGGGAGCAGGGCACCATGGGAGCTGGCACTATGTTTGCTCAGAAAGGCCAAACCCTGCTCCCAGGTTAGAGCTTGGAGTCTGTCCCCACTTTCCTTTCCTGTACTCTCCCCTCCCAGTTATCTTCCTGAAATCCAGGCAGTTCATCCTTCTGCATAGTGTTCTATGTTATAGGGCTTAGTTAGTACTATGCCCCCTATTTCCCAGTATGTCACTCCAGGAGTAGATATTGGGCATGGCCCTGTCACCCTGGCCATCTGTTCACATGCCCAAGGTGCTAGAACTAGCTTAGGAGATGGCTTCTAGACAAGGAATAGGCACACTCCAGGGTAAGAATGCAGAGTAACAAAGTAAGGAAGTTTAGACCTGGGGTGAAGCTATCCCAAGACTGACAGCTCTGCTCTCATCTTGCCTCTGGCCTTGGATTTCATACCCCTCCTGATAGGAGGCCAGGAGCTCTACTGTCCCAGGCCCAGACAAGTCCCTTAACCAGGTTCAGGACCTTCAGGAGGCCTTTCCTCATTTTCTTCCCAGGGCTCTCTCTCCTCCTTTCTAGGCTGCTGGGGAGACACGGGTGCCCCATGGTCTCCCTCCCCTTCTCCAGGAAGTACCTGGAGGAGGGAACCTGAATCACTGGTTGAGACAAAGGGGACAGGGGCAGCCAGTTTTCACCATTATGTGGTGAGGCTGAATTTTGGGCTCAGACACCAGCAACAGCCTCTTGGGATGCCCCGAGTTGCTTCCTTTTTCTTCTAGCGTGTGCTTTCTTCCTTAAAACTTTTATGATTTCTTGTTACATATGAACATAGGTCTTCCCCCTCACCCTAAATCTAGGTATCCAGGCCCCATAGCCAAGCTGAGGCTTGGAGAAAAACTCTTCATTCCCATGAGGACAAAGGCAGCTGCCTTCCCTAACCCTGTAGCCCCAGGCCCAACCCCAGGCCAACAGAGGGTGTTGAGGGAGGGGATGGGGCAAGCCCTATGGATGCTGATAGGGTAGAGGAAGCACTTTCGGGGTTTCCTGTCCCCGAGAGTAAGCCACATTATCTCTAAAAGCAGATCAAAGTCCCCACTTCTAGTCTACTAGGCTCCAGTGTTTGACAGCCCTGCTACTTGGCTCCCAAGATTCAGTTGTTTTTATTGTGCCAGCTGTCCCTTAGTCACCTCAAGATATAGGGTCTTCAGTACTTCTTAGCTGAAACTCCAGTACTTCCTGCCGACTCCTTCACTGCCGGAGGGGCCTGAGCTTAGTACTGAATAGTGTCCAGATGAAGGAGTTGGGTTATAGGGTATTTGGCTCAAAACTCTAAGTGTCTCTGCCCTCACCCATTTTTCTGGAGGCCCCTGTAGTTCTAGAACCTTCCATCACTTGGCTGGTTGCAAGGCTATTTTTTGTATTGCCCTATAGATTCTGTAGCATTTAAGTGTTGCAATATTTTAATTGTACATAGATTTCTAAGAACCAACACTACTCAGTCTCTTGCTAGTCTGATTCCTGAAGCATCAGACCTCGTCATACTATATTGACTGTGTATGTGCCTTTCACCTTGAGCATGCTTCAGGATTATTTTTTTTTTTAACCACAGAACTTGAATACATGAGGGAACCAGAATTCACAAAGTCCTATGCAACCTATGCAACCTTAGACAGGAGGAGGTTAGAGAGTCTGTCTTGACTGCTGTTTTCAGAGACCTTGGAGTTGCAGTTTGTATTAACTAGAGTCAATACTACCAGCACTTTGCCAAAACGAGTATGCCAGAGGGACGCCATTTCTAAAGTGTGAGTCCCAATTACATCAAAGGGCAGTTTCTAATTATTCCCTCAATAGGTCTGAGTGTTTTCACCTTTCCCCAGGCTAGCCACAGTGGGCACCATGTATGTATGACTGCAGTTTGGTGCTGTTTTGGAGTATGCCTGCTTTCCAGCCCCCTGCCTGAAGCCCTCTTCATCATTTTGTTCTGATGTGTTTTATGTGCAACAAAGACCCTACTAGAGCACTTGGATGCCTCCCAGATCCATGTGGCTTTACATGAGGAAATGTATGCAGACACATCACAGCCCACTACAAGTACCTTCCCTCTTGCCCTACCACTTAGTTCCGAATGGACAAGCTGAGTGTATCCTGTTTGGGTGTTTTGTGTTGAGGCTGGACGAAATGAGGAGATTTTGGTTGATTATAATGTAATGTCTTGACAGACTCAAGGACACAACCACCTCGACCCAGTCATGTGGCATGCCTGTGTATGTGTGTAACAGAATTCTGATTGTTAGATTGTAATGCTATTCCTGTATGGAAGAAAAAAAATTAATATAAAGAAAAACAAATAAAAATCTATTTAAAGCACATTATACTACTAGCAAAGGGTATTATTACTACATTGACTTTGATTCTGGTTGTGTTTGTTATGTGTAATAAAAAAGTGGGGGAGATGAGCTTGCTGGGGGAACCATACAATGTGGGGTTTGACTCAAAAATAACTACTTTTATCCTTATAATGCAAGACATAAGATATTAAGACGTAAGAAATAGAATTAGGCATGAGAAGAACAGGACAAAATCACCAACTCATTCTTTTGTTCTCATTGGTTTATGGCAAGGACAAAGTGGTGATGGAGGGAAGGAACGACATTTAAGCTAGTCCTAGGAGATAACAGCAGATAACTGAAGCCTTGGCCAAGATAAGGGAAGGACCCTAAGCATCAGAAACCCCTGAAAGTAGAGATAAGGTTAAGGCAGAAGCAGCTGGCTTTGTAGGATGTACACACTACAGGCTAATAATTGGACCAGGAAAGAAGAAAACAGAGATGTACTTAAGAGAAATCACCCTGAGGCTGGATGGAGGTAAGAAACAGGGCAAAGAAGCACACTATAGCAGACTTTTTTTTTTTTAAGATTATAAGACAAAATAGCCCCTTTAATTTGCAAATTGCCCCATCTAAACACAGAACAGAACTGAATGTGAAAATGTGACTTACCCTGGGCTCAATTTTTGATACTGGTATGTAGAATCCTGCTGATCACCCTGGGCTGGCTTGCTTCTTCAATATAAGAAATGTAAACACAGTTGTTTGGGAGCAGTCCGCTAGGTGCACTGAGAATTAAATGTATAAGGTGGAGAAAATACTAGGTTGCTGATTCCAAACTTTTCTCATCCTTAAGTGAGTGAGTTGAAGAAGCAAGTATGTACATTTTTCTCACCAAGAAGGCATCTCACGTGCGATGGGGTAGACTGGGATTCTGATTCACTAAGAAGCCTGTGTCTATTGACTTATCGTTCAAAGAAAGAGTTCTGCTCATCCAGTGACCCCTTACTAGTAACATACTTTTATGTTCTAGGACAATGAGATTTATTTAACACATTCAGTATTTCACATTGTACAAACCATTAGATTCTCTTTATTCACTGGTCCATTTCTACAACAAATACATCCAAAAACACTATATAATAAAATTATTTACAACATTTCCAAATGAGAAGATTGCTTTTGCCCCTTCTACAGCTATTCACACACAATACTTCCACATCATTAGAAGATTTAAAAATGCTCACCCTGTACTCTAGGCTGCTTAGGAAATGTGAAAAATAATAACATTTACAATGGCATCAGCTCCTCTCGATACATGGCAACATCTTAGAAACCTTGAACTTCACCTTGCAACACCAAAAGGGCTTAATAACCCTGCTTTTCCCATTGCACTTTACAAAACAGGTTGCAGAACTAGGAAAAGGGCACATTATTAAAAGGACTAACTGTACAGAAATGGTTTTAGAAAAGTCACAGCTCAAAATTGCCTTTTGTAAAATTCACACACATTTACAAGTATCAAGTTGCTGTCCAGCTCGTTTACTTGGATTTTCTCCGCTTGGATTGCACCGCACTGGTTACGTCTGTGGAGGGAAAAGGAAGGATACGTTTAGCTGACACAACTCTTTACAGCAATGCTTTTTTAGGGAACTTGCAAGGATCAGGTCTGACCTAAATGGAGCCCTAAACAACTGTGATTGGGTCTAAAGTCTGTAAAAAAGGCCACCAAGTGGGTGCAGAGGGGGCCACACATAATCCGTGATGACTTAGGAAACTGAAGCATAGCCCTGTGATGTGGATTAAATTGTGTACCCCCAAAATGTGTTGTAAACTTGAATCTCCAACCCGGGTGATGTAGTCCCAGTTGAGAAAATGGGCTTTTGTTATGTTAATG